ACCGTCATGTAAAAAGTAGTAAGACCATGACATACACACATGCACCAAGATACTGTATTTCCAATTTAGGCCTTGACTTCAACGATGTAAAATTAAAAACAGACACCAGAAAGGAGTAGTCAAAAATAACTTATTCTTCTCATCAAGATTTATGCTCCCTCCGGGCGTGGTGGCACACGCCTGTAATCCCAAAACTGGGGAGACTGAGGCAGGAGGATCCTTGTGAATTCGAGACCAGCCTGGGCTACAAAGTGAGCTCAAGGTCAGCCTAAACTGCATATCGAGACCCTGTCTCAAAAAGACAAAAAAAGATTTATACTCCCTAAACCTATAAATCCTAATCCACACAGAAAAATGGTAAGCTATTCCTTAGTCTAGGAGCAAATGAGTCCTGAGAGATTAATTTCCGAGGATGTAACAGATTTGACTACGCAAGGCAGTGTGACACATCTACAATTCCAGGACCTCAGACCCCACACCACTGGCGCGCCTCCGCTCCTCGCGCGCCCTGACGCCCCCGACTGCCGCGCGCCCTGCAGCAGGCTCCTCAGGGGTTCTGGACCTCGGCTGGCTCTTCTCTACAACTTGGGTATTAACAGACCTGCCTTGAGGAGCTGAAGGTAGGTATATTTTAGAACTCCTCTGCGCTAACAAGCAAGAAGTGCTTGTAAACGTCAGGGGCTGTCCTGGAGCCCCCGCTCACCTACACGCTTCACACCTCGGGGCCACACAGGGCACAACTCGAGGTTCAGAGGCTGGACGGTCGCCAGCGAGCGCGGACACGAGAGCAGGAAGCTGGGGCCAGCGCATCCCAGGCCGGCGGACCCGCGCCCCGCACCGAAGGCGGAGGCCGGCGGGCGGGGTTCTCCGCAGGCGAGCCGCAGCAGCACGGCGGGCAAGGCTGCCCCGGGAAGGAGCCGCGGGGGCTCGCCCCGCCGCCACCGCGCGCCGCTTACCCGGCTCTCCGTAGGGAATGGTCTCCACCCAGGCGCCCGGCTCCTCCTCCTGGATGTCCAGCACCCTGTCGATGGACTTCTGCGCCTGGGACAGGGCCTGCTTGGCGAAACTGGAGAGCTGGGAAGCGTTGAACCAGCTCATCGCTCCTCGCGGCGGAGGCGGGGGCACTGGGAAGGCCGAGGGCCCGGTCGCCCAGCCTCAGGCCCCGGGGAGGACGTGGCGGAGCGGACTCGCCCCCTCAGCCACGGTGCTGGCCGTCAGCAGGGACCCATGGCCCCACCGTCTCCCGGAGCCGGGAGAGTACCCGCAGCGTCTCCCGCACAGCTGAGACGACGGGCCCCTCCTACGCATGCGCGAGCTCCTTCCACGTACACAACAGCCAGATCCGGGAGCCCAGAGTTCCGCCTAAGGGGAAGAACCCGGACGAGGACGTGACGTAATATCCGGAAGCCCGAAGTTGCCCTTAGTTACCGCGCAACGCCGAAACACTTCCTTTTGACCCGCTCGAAGCTGACAGCAGTGTTCACAGTCAGGGTGAAACTATGACTACCAGGAAGCAAAGTCCTCTGTAAAAAATAAATGAGTTTCACGAGGCTTCTCTCCCAAAAGGTAGTTCGGGTCCAAGTCTATCGCCACGTCAGTCTTAACTACAGAAAAAAGGAAGTTTAGGTGTCGCATTGCTTTTAACATTGGCTCAAGTATTTAACCACTTTCATTACCGGGGCCTTAAAGAAAAGCCTTGGTTTGGCCTTGCACACTGCTGTTGTATCATGAGGGTCAGTCTTTCCCCTCTGTACCCCTACACTGATTGCCTGGGTCAAAGCAATAGCACAGTGGTCTGACTGTCTGCCTGCCTGCTACCCGCTTCCCTAGATTCGTATGGTGAAACCAAGTCCCCAAGAGGGGAGGCCTCTAGGAGGTTGTTAGCTAGCTCATGAGTGGAAAGGCCCAGGAGTTCCTGTCTGTCCTTTCCACAGTACGATATAGTGAGACTATGCCATCCATGAACCAGAAGAACGCACACCAGTCCCCCTCACCTGGTTCTTTGATCTCGGGCGCCCCAGCCTCCAGAACCGTAATTTTATTTATAAGCCACCCAGTTTACAATTTGTTACAGGAGTTCAAAGGGACTAAGTCACCTAAAACACTATTACCTTAATGTGTTTTGTGCACATTACTTAAAATACCTTTTCTGCATGAACTGCCTTCAACTTATGGCCATGGAAAGAAATTGTAAACTGATTGCCTTCCAAATCTAGACAGCAGCTATGTTTGTTTGGCCCCAATAATGTTAAAAAGACAAAATTCTACCAACACTTAAAATTAACGTAACAGAAAAATTCAGAGTTCCAGCTACTTTTGAAAAATATTACTAACAACGTGGAAATACTCACCTGGAAATGGCCACCTTTTGATAAACCATTTTCATGCACTCCAGTTTTCCACATACCCACCACACTCACTAAATCTCATACTCTTCCCCCTGCTATGATCATTCACCTAACCTGCCTGTCTCTCCTATTAGGGTGTTTACTCCACTGCAAAGCACTATGACATAAATAAATTATCCTTTTTTTGTTTTGTTTTTTACGAAATCAGACTGACACTCATTCCTTAACATGCATTCCATTCATTTTTCCTATGGCGCTGGGAATTGAACCCAGAGCCTCACACAAACCAAGCACCCTGCCACTGAGCCACATCCTCAACCCATATCATCCTTTAACATGTTATGATTTTCCAGTTTTATCCAACTACATTAAAAGGTACATGATGGAGAGCTTCCCTGGATGATGAGAGGAGTAGGAGGGCTTTTCTGAGATGCAGGCCTGTAACATGTCCTCACAGATCTGTGTCTGTTGTTCTCAGCCCTTAGGCCTGAAAATGAGAAGCAACCTCCCAAATCGCCTGCAAGACAGGAAAAGGAAAGGAAACCTCAACACAGAAAAAGCCTACAGTGAAAATCACAGAAAACAAAAACAGAAGAAAGCCAGAACATCATAGTCTGAAAATGAAGCCACACAGAAAAGCTAAAGGTAAAGAGCAATCCAGAATAAAAAGGAAAGTTTGAGGAAAAGGGAAAGCCACATAATGGGCAACCAGAGAAAGAGAAGGCCAAAAAATCACAAAAAATTAGAAAATGACAGCAAGCTACAGATGACAGCAAACCAGAACACTCCAGGCAGCGAAGGTAAGCAAGCCAAGAGTTCCTGGCTGAAGACACATGCTCCAGAAAGGGAAAAGAAAGAAAAAGGAGAGCTGGGGAGAGATAATCCCCCAAAGGACTCAGGAGGGCTACAGAAAAGACATGTGAACAGTGAGCAGATGAGAGAAATGTTTAGGTGTATGTAGGGCTCAAGAGTTAAGGCAGGACCTGGGAATATAGCTCAGCAGTATGGCGCCTGCCTAACAAGCTAGAGGTACTGAGTTCAATTCCTGGTTCAAAACAAAACAAAAAAAAAGAGTTAAGGAAAAAACAAAATAGATGGTTTTCAGTGAGATACAAAGAAATGCACAGGAAGCAACTGTCCTAAGGGTGTGAAGGAAGGGGCAATCGTAGGCACCAAAAAGGATTTACACAGTATCTCAAAACTTTAATGCTTTTGGCCTTGGTATTTGACTTCTCTGATGAGAATACTGGCAGTCCTGCTTTCCCTGGTAGATACTTCCCAGGGTCTAAGGAGATTGTGGCAAAGAACAGCTGGGAATCCCTATCCCAAGACTTCCAAGCGTAGATTTGGCTAAATGACCTCACTTTCCAAAACTATTCAGCTCTCAGATGGAAATAACCTTCATCTTCTCATAAAGCTACTCTGTGAATCATTATAATACCCATATAAAGCAGGTGCTAAAAGTTAACTTTCTTCACCTTCAAAAATTGAAGATAGGCTGGGGATGTAACTCAGTAGTAGAGTGATGGCCAAGCAATGTATAAGGCCCTGAGTTAAATTCCTGGCTGGGGCGGGGGCGGGGGAGCACTGAATATGTAGCTTTTTAAGCTAAAGCACTTAAAATTACCCAGTATGTTTTTTATAGTGAATCAATTTGTTAACATGGACACAGAAAAAAAAATGAAAACTCAATCTACTAATAACCACAAACTCTTGAAAAATGCCATCCAGGCTGGGAATGATGGTGCATGCCACCCAGCCAGAAGTCTGAGAGGCTGAGGCAGAAGAGGGACTGCAAAATCAGGTCCAGCCACTCAGTGAATGAGCCCCTGTCTTAAAATTTAAAAAAGAATGAAAATAAGAATTATGTACATGTTCCAAATATAAAATGGCACAATCCAGGTTTTTAGTACTTGTTCTTAATTTGTATTTCAGTCCTTTTTGGAGAAACAAAGGCATGGCAAGTGTTATGACTTGTGTCTAGATGTCCCCCCAAAGCCTCATGCAGTCATAGGCTGGATGTTTTGGTGGTGGCTCGATCTAGGGAGTGTGCTACTGGAATCAAGGATGTGATGGGACCAAGGATTGATTCACCAATGCTAAGATTAAGGGTGTATATGCTACCACCTTACCCTAATGGGTAGCCTGGATAAGACGTAAAAACCAGAAAGAGCTGCTGTGCTTGCTCCTGGTCTCTTGCTTGCTGCTTTGGTGGTCTTCTGTCTGCCATGAACTGTTTCACCTCTGTGATGCCCCTCTGTAGGTAAGCCAGTTGACTGAAACCTCTACAAACTTGTGAGCTCAATAAACCTCCTTTAACTTTGGGTGTTCAGAATTTGTCTCAACGAGAGAAAACTTACTAAGATGAAATTTGGTAACAGAATCATTTTATTTTTTCCTCTTTAAAATTAAAAAAAAAAAGAACTTGGTATCAGAGAAGTAGGGTCCTTGCTGTGACTATACCTGACCACGCTGTTCAAGAGCCTTTGGGACTGGCTTGTGGGAAGTTTGGAAAAGTTAGGCATTGCCAGCTGAGAAAGTAGCCCTGGAATGCTTAAGGCTGTGCTTGATGGAAAATTCAGGTCAGAGCTCAGAAGATCAGAATGCTTGTAGAAATGCTACTGGTAAAGACCAGGTGTGGGAGGTTTCTGCTGGGAAGGGCAGCACTGGTTGTTAAGACTTCACACAATGTGTTATACCTTAGCAGAAAATTTGTCTTCATTTTGGCATGTCCAAGAGACTGCCTGAGACTGAGATTAAGGGTGGCAGACTAATTAATCTGGCCAGAGAAACTTCAAGGCAGTCAAATGTTGAGGCCATGGCATGGCTCCTATTGGAGGCTTTTAGCCAGATTTATGTTCAAAATCAAGAAGAGCAAAAGAGCCCAGCAGAATGGTTAAAAACATGGTGAATTTGGCTACAAAGCAAGCTTCAGTTAAAGTTGCTGCCTGCTAAAATGGGACAGAGGACAAACTGGTGGCTGGAAAGACTAGCAAGAAAAAGCCAAGTATTTCAGAAGAAGACAACAGAAAAGATGGCCTGAAGAAATAACAAGCACCAGCAGGATTCTGCCCTTTGTGGGATCAAAATTGCAAAAGCGAAAGGGTGTGCTTTGAGCAAAGAGCCCCAGAGCATCGTATTCCAGAGTGGCAGCAGCCTAGGGAAGTTGTTGCTCAGGATTTGGTTCATAGGAACTTGACCACTACAGGTAAAAGATGGAAGCCTGGCTACTTCTCAAGCTGGTGTCACACCTTGGCATCATCCACGTGATGTTGGTTTCAGGTGCATGCAGAATGCAAGAGTTGTGGAGTCAGGAAGGCTTCCACCCAGATTTGAGAAGGCCTGGGAGGTAGGGCAGTGTGACCCTAAGGGGGAACTCTGTGAAAGCCAAGGTGCAGTGGAGACCCCAGAAGTTTGGAGATGCCAGGAACATGGACTGTCCAAGGAAAACTGCAAGGAGGGAGCAGAGCCAGCCCAACAGTGAAGCTTTGGGAGCTACAACCAACAGTGCTGTAGTGGGGAGAGCCACCCAAACCCTTTAGAGTTCACATATTACCAGAGTTTGCCTTCGATGCTAGACATGGAACTATAGGCTTAATGTTTGCCCTGCTGGATTTTGGATTTACTTTGGTCCCACTCCTATGTATCTTTGTATTTATACATTTTGGAATGGTAATATTTATCTTCTACCATTGTATGTTGGAAGTGTTTAACTTTCATGTGTTCAGAGGCTCGCAGCTAAGAGTTTGCTTTAAGTCTCAGCAATTTTTAAATTGAACTTTCCAGCAATGCTGAAACTGTTAGGATTTGGGCAACTTTTACAGATGGGCTAAATGCCTTTTGCATAAAGGGATGTGCATGAGTTTTTGGGGGGCCAGGGTTAGAATCTTATGTCTGTGTCTGGATGTCCTCCCAAAGCCTTCTCTGATCATATGCTGGGCTTCTCAGAGGGGAGCTGGATCTAGGCTGTGTAATGCTGGGATCAGCAATGTGAATCTGGCATTGATTCACGGTACAGTGCTAGGGTTAAGAGTGTGAGTACTACCTGCATTAGTGGTAGGTAGCCTGAATAAGAATGTAAGGGACAGAAAGAGGATAGCTATTGTCACTTGTTCTGCCTGCCATGAACTGTTTCTCCTCTGCAATGCCTCTCTCCAATGTGACGCTGCCCTGGAGCCAGCAAACTATGATGATGTAACCTCTACAAATGAGCCCAATGAACCTTTTTTCCTTTAGCTTTGGGTGTTGGTATTTGTCTCAGCAGTGAGAAAAGTAACTAAGACAGTAAGAAACTTTAATATAAATATATATTTGTTCCATTTCACTAGATAATTATGTTGGAACATTAAATTAAACCAGGAGATCTAAAAAATCCTGTAGCAAAAGTATTAATTCAGGTAAAATAAATGCTTGGTTAGGCCAGGTGTGCTGGCACACACCTGTAATCCCAGCACTGGTGAGGCTGAGGCAGAAGGATCATTGCAAGTTCAAGACCAGCCTGGGATACAAAGTGAGCTCATGGCCAGCCTTAACTGAATAGCAAGACCCTGTCTCAAAAAGACAAAAAAGGGGCTGGGGATTTAGCTCAGCGGCACAATGCCTGCCTGGCAAGCGCAAGGTTGTGAGTTCAATTACTGGTACCGGAAACCCCCCACCCCCAAAAAAAAGACAAAAAAAAGGGGGGCTGGGGATTTAGCTCAGTGGCACAGTGCCTGCCTGGCAAGCACGAGGTTGTGAGTTCGATTCCCGGTACCGGAAAAAAAAAAAGAAAAACATTTTTTTAAAAATTAAAAAAAAATAATGCTTGGTGATCGTAACTCTGCTAAACATTTAAAAATTATTCATATACACTTCCAGAATGAAGCCGGTGTGAATAGCAAAGAAAAAGTCTCCAAAATTTGGTGTCCAGATGATGGAATATAGCAACATGAGGAAGAGAAGAAGGAAAGTGGGTCCCTGAGACCCAGAAAGATCTGAAGCAACAACTGAAGCCCATTGAGAGACCAAAGAAAGAGACTTCCATAATGAAGAAGGTGACAAGTTGTGCTTTCTCCCTAAGCTCTGACTCACGGTGGGAGTGGCAGCTCAAACCTTCAAACACACAGTGACTACTGGTGAACTGAGACCTTCCATGCCAGTGGAACGATGTGGTTGCAGCAGATTGAAGTGGCTAGTGAGTTATTCAGGTTCAAACATTGAAGCGAGGGGACTGGCTATAGCCATCTTAGAGAGGGGCCAACTGAACTGGGAACTCAGAGCAGCTGTGGGCTGCCTCCATCTAGTGGCTCCCACTATCAGGGTAAGGTAGAACTAAGTCCAAAGGAGCAGAAAGCACAAGAATGTTGCAGGCTGAACAAATGAGGTTCCAGCCTCACAGGAAGAAACCAGCCTGAACTTCAGTGGAATTAAACGTGCAGGCTCACTAGGATTATCTACTGCCCTGAGGTAAATCTATGGCTGGCTTACTGGGATTAATTAACGTCCTAGACTGTCTGCCCACTTTGTCCACAGTGAAGGCAGAGACCTGCCTTGAAGTGAACATCTTTAAATCTTTTCTTGTTTTTTATTACCTGTTTTTGAGTTCATTTTTCTTTTTTCCTTGATTGATTGTTCTTTTTTACGTGAGTGTGAACATTCTTTCTAGTTTTTTGTCATTTTTGTTCTATTCTGTTTTTATTTCTTCCTTTTCCTTTCCTTCCTGTCTTCACCAATTTCCCAAAGTGTGCATAATCTTCTTCTTGCTTCCAGTCTTCCTCTTCTTTTATTTCTCTATTTTTCCCCCATAACACATTTTAAATTTTCTGAGTATAAAATCGCCATACTGAGGGCATATTTACTATATACAATTTTCTGATTTGTTTTAGATTTTATTATATAACCACAAAACTAGTTCATATGCTTTAAGGTGGCAAATTAATAGTTACCACTGTTTGTCATTGATGCTACTGAGGTCCCCACTGCAGCACTCAAGAATCAATAGCATTCCTGTACACAACAAACTCATTGGGAGAGAAATTAGGGAAACAACACCTTTCACAATAGCATCCCCCCAAAATGAAATACCTAGAAATGAACGCAACAAAATCAGTAAAAGACCTTTACAATGAAAGCTACAGCACTCTAAAAAAAAAAGAGATTGAATAGGATAGCAGAAAATGGAAAGATATCCCTTGTAAGAACCAATATAGTGAAAACAGCCATACTTCCAAAATTGTTATTCAGATTTAATGCAATCCTGATCAAAATACCAACAGCATATTTCACAGAATTAGAGAAAACAATCCTAAAATTCATTTGGAACCAGAAGAGACCTACAATAGCAAAAGCAATCCTGGACATCCCTGACTTGAAATTATACTACAAAGCCGCGATAAAATCACCATGGTACTAGCAAAACAAACAAACAAAAAAACCAACCAGAGGATTAGTGAAACACATTAGAAAATGCAGAACAAACTCCAAACAAATTCAGCTACCTTTCACAAAGGAGCCCAACACCTTCACTAAAAAAATGATAGCCTCTTTAATAAATGGTGCTGCAAAAAGTAGCTTTCTACATGCCAAAAATTAAAACTAGACCCATATCTTTTACCATGCACTAAACTAAAATCGGAATGGATCAAAGATCTAAATATTTAAACAGAAACACTAATTCTGCTGGAAGAGAGGATAAGTAAACCTCTTCAAGACTTTGTTGTAGGCAAAGACTTTATGAACAAAATCTTGACCTCACAGGATATATCACAAAGAATCAACAACTGGGACTGCATCTTATTAAAAAGCTTTGTGCACAGAAAAAAAAAAAAAAAAACACCGAAAAGAATGAAAAGACAATCCACCGTGTGACAAAAAATGTTTGCCAGCTGTTCCTCAAAGGACTAAATATCTATAAAATATCTATAAAAAGCTCAAAAAAATCAGACACCCCCAAATTTAAAGATCCAATCCAAAAATAGGCATCTGAAATGATTAGACACTTCTCAACCAAAGAAGTAAAAACTGCAAATATATGAAAAAATATTCAACATGACTGGCAATTCAAGAGATACAAATTAAAACAGTACTGATGTTTGTTTTACTCTCACTCCAGAAAGAATGGCAAGTCTCGTTAAATCAATCAATAACAAATGCTGGCAGAGCTGTGAGGAAAAAGGAACCCTTCTCTGTTCTTGGTGGGAGTGTAGGCTGGTGCAACCACCACAGAAAATACTGTGGAGAGTCCTGAAAAGATGAAAACCAGAAGTTTCATTTGATCCAGCTATTCCACTTCTGTGTATCTTTGCAAAAGAATTAAAAACATCATACCAGAGTGATAAAAGGCATACCCATGTTTATAGCAGCACACTTTATAATAGCTAAACTTTGTAAACAGCCCAAATGCCCATCAACCAATGAATGGATAAAGAAGATGTTGCTTTTTAGTACAATGAAGTACTACTCTGCCATAAAGAAGGACAGGCTTAAGACATTTCTAGCTAAGTGGATGCACCCTTGAGACCATACCCTTAAGTGAAATAAATCACACACATTTAAATACTGCATTATTTCTCTGGTGTGAGAAACTGAAGTGTAGATAAGGACCAAAATGCATAACAGATATTGGCAAATGGGAAGGAAATGTTCAAATGAGAAAGGGAACAAGGAAGTGGGAGAGGGAAAGGAAAGAAGGGACAAGAAAAAAAAGGAAAAATACAAACAAAGCTTTTGTAAATGAGGTGAAGAGGGGTTGAAGTGAGGACAGGGGAATAGAAAAAAAGAAGATATATCATGTACAGGTACAAATTCTCTATGATGAATGTTATTATGTATTCTAAAATGTGCCAATAAAATTTTTCAAATGTAAAACATACATATATAGAAATTATTCATACATTATGGAACTATTAAACACTTTAGAAAACATCAGTGAAAGAAGTAGCAATGTATGATTTTATTAATAAATAATGCAAAAGCATCTGTGATAACTGTTTAAACATTAAATTTTTTGAAACAGCCAAGTTGGCTTAAATTTGTGCATAACGGCCTGTACGGCACTACAAATACACACATGAAAATATTCCCTATTTCCATGCACAAGTATTCAGCTATAACACTGCTTACAAATTATTATGGACAAGATAAACTGTAACAACCATTATTGATTCGGACTGGAACAATTAAAGGAATATTATGTCCAGTGATAGCCTATGTTTGTTATACTCTGGATGTCAGATTGTAATATTTAAAGTTACTTAAAACTTAATTCCTTGTTTACTCTAAAGGGACATCTTCTGTACTTGTGGTACCCAAATGAAAGCTGAGGAATGCATTTTGACCATAATAACAAAATTCACACACAAGAGGGAGTTTGCCTCCTCCTCTAAAAGTTTTACATTTACTCAGAATCTCTCTCTCCAGGCATCATTTCCTGTATTTCTAATGGACACGTTGACAAGCACTGACCCCAAAACTCTTATCTTCAAGGGAAAGTTACAAAGTTAGAAAAGAGTAGTTCTTATATTAAAAGTCAAATTTCAGCAACGCTAGCTAAAAGTGACATAAATTCAATTTCTTAGCATCCATGAAGTGTATTATTTCCGTAAGTTGTCTATTATGTGCAAATTTATTTTCTTTAAGAAGTAAAATGAAGTTTGAATAGTACAGTCTGCGGTGTGGTGACATCAGCAACTGCCAGTTCTTGTCCATCAACAAGTCCTAATTCTAAAACAGAAAAACTGTAGTTAACCTAAGCAAAAAGCATCTTAATAAAAATAATAATGATACACAAACTGTACAGTTTTATGACCCAGATAACCATCAAAATCCAGTTCTCTTTAGAGAAGGTAATATTTGATTTCTTGGGAGTTTTATTATTTTCCTACAAAGAGTAATAAATTGTATTATTATTTCTAATAGGTAATTGTATCCAGAACAAGTATTTATTACTTTACCAAAAAAAACCTCCACTATTAAACATATTATTTAATATACCTTTCAAAGTTTTGGAAAGATTCGGCCTTGTTCGTTCTTCAATAGAGGTTACCGACTAGAAAATAAAATTATTTTAACATAAAGCATATCAGCATGAAATTAAACTATTAATATAATTTTCTGGGAAAAAAATGAACACTGATCACCTGTAAGTAAAGGGTTCTATTTTTCCCTTCTAATGTGGCTGTGATTGCTGGAGATTTCATCTGCCTAAGTATAATCATGAGAAAAAGTTCTGTGCATCATTTTATATTTTAAAATTTGCTTTTAACATTTTAAAACTTTAAAAAAATGATTTTTACAATATAACAAAAATCCAGAACACTTACAGAGAAGCACTATTGGTTAGATAGTCCAAAACTTCCTGCAGTTTAGCTGATGGAGAAAACTGAATATTTTGAGGAAGTTGGCTACAAGCTGGGCAGTTCTCCTACATATACAAGGCACAACAAATTAAAGACAGGCACAAGAACTAATATTAGTCTCTTTATAAACAAAGAAATGCATATTTCTTATAAGAATTATTTTATGCTTTAAAACCTGTTTGTCCTAAAACATTTCTTTTACATTATTTTGCTGTAAGGTATTTATTTTATGCTATACACCAAAAGACATATAATAGGCAAAGGTCTGGCAGTTAGAAAATAAGATACTTAGGGTATGGGTAATTCTCCTCAATTTTTAAGGAGTACTTAACATTTAAAAATTAAAATATGCATACAAAAACATTTTATTACTAACCTTTCTCTCTGCTTCAAATGTGTAAGTGTACAGCCCATCTACATCATTGAATACCAAGTAATTATTAAGGGGAATGTATGCACTGTAATAAAAAAGTTCATTTTTAATTAGGTCAAATAAAAACATGAATTTATGTACAACTTATTAAATATGAAATTCATTACCTTGTGGCTATTTTAAAAACCTCAGTGGCACACACAGCTGAAGAGGAGAGAAAAATAAATGTGTGTAATGCAATGAAAAATAAACATCTAAGAAATGAGCTATAAATCAGAATAAATAAATTTATAATGGCTACGGATTAAAAATCGATTTTAAAAATACCTCAACTTATTTTTTAAAACTGAGAAAATGAATTTTATACAGTGTTTGTTTTTTGTGATCCATGCAACAGAACAACTTCCATGTCTTTCTTCTTTGTCAGTTTAATGAACAGCTTATGCTGATTAAAAACATATGGTACTACAATGTCCCTTTAACGTTCCAACAGCATGTTCATTTTTTGACCTTTATTACAGAACTCTACCCAAGAAGACATCAAATTCTTAAAACATAAGGACAGAAGGAATGTCAATTAAAATATTAAATCAAAAACCAAAGGAAATAAAACTAAGAGAAAGTCTTTTTTCCTTACCTGCAATGACTGCATTTGTGGAAGCTACTGCAGGAATGATTCGTTTTACTACCCCTGAAAAATTTATCAATTAAAATACAGTCAGTTCCTGTACAAAAGTTATCTTAAATAAAACTATAATCATGCAATAGCATTTTTTCATTTTACAGTACTGGGGATTGAGCCCAAGGCCTCAGGAATGCTAGTCAAGTGTATCACTGAGCTACATCCCCAGCCTCTAAATAACATTTTCTGAAACCTAATTTTTTAGGCTCTCCAGTCAGGAAGTAAGCTTAATCATGAAACAATCTTCTTTCACATTCCCATCATTTTTTGTAGTAAGCTAAGACTCTTAACCTACAGTAACAAAGAAAAGTAGAAATCTTTCAACTGTAGGAATAGTAGCTAATGATTAGGGTTTACTGTGTTGCAGGTATGCATGAAGATTAAATAAAATACTATTTAATTTTCACAAAAGTCTTTATGTTAGTCTGCT